TTCTGAGTTAACCTGTGACTTGAGAATTTCTCGCGACTTAGAGAAAACCGGACTCGCACTTCTCTCCATCGCTGCAGTCACCTCGGTTGCAACCGGGTTAATATGCTCATTCACTATGCAGACCCATATTTCGCTAATACAAACCATTTACTGAATTGCAGTAACGCCGAAAGAAAATGAGGCCGTTCGCCGCATTTAAGATGACCGCGTCCAGTTTCGCTAGTCGTGTATGGAAACGAGACGAGCCAAGTTACTGACTAACCCCAGAAGCCAACGCTGACCCTTCAAAAACACTAATTCCACACTGAAAGGGCTAAAGAGATCAACGAGATGAGCTGCGGTGCTACCGCCTCGCAAGGATTACGACGTCACTAAGCTTTATGGGTTGGACGTAGTCGGTCGTGAGGTGGTGTGGAGAGACCGTTCTCCGTCGCGATTCGCTTCGTAGATAAAGGTAAGGCCGAGGTCGATCGATTCTATAGGGCTACAGTAATTAAGGGCAAACGGAGGGTCAGCAGGTAGAGCCGGTCATTAACATCCGAATAGCCATGGTGGCTGTGAATGGGCCCAGAAGACAGTGCTGGAATTTGCGAACGTCTGGGAGAATACCATACTATATTACGACTGCATGCCCAGGGTAGAATTTTCAAACTACCCTGATTATCCAATTATATGAATTCCGAAAGATCGCATTAGATTCGTATGAAGTTTTTCAAGAAATCGACCAAGGTCAAGAGTAAGCTTCCGAAAAGGGGGCTATCCGCCTGCGAAAAAATCGAGCTCACCAAAAAACTTGGCAAAAAAACACCAGCAATTACTAAATTATTGCTAAAACTTTGAAGTAAGCTTAGTTACTGTTGTGAGACAGGAAAATGAACGAATTCTCCTCTACGAACGAAAGAAACTCACTAGGCGAGTATCAAATAGAAACTCACTTTCTGCCTTTTAACAGTCAAACCTACAACATAGACTTGAGCTTGCATCAGGTAAAAGCTCATTGCGATCCTACTAATTATTTTCATATCCTTCAAATCATTAATATCAGTATATTTTAGATAAATGGAGATACATACAGAGTGCTTATTTGAAAAAGAGAAAATTCTGTGCCAATTTCAAAGTATCTAAAATTGGCGAAAATTTTTTACAAGCGATGGTAAGCAGGATCAGATTTGTATCCTTGACCCCATACAAGTCATGTTCGACAAACGAGTCTATTCGAGACTAAAAAAACAAAATCTTGCCACTCACAAGCCTTCGCGAAAGTTTTGCTATTATGAAAATCGAGATTGGTTCACAGCGATCCCCCCCCCCCCCTCCCCCCACCTTTCCCCAAAGAAACGGACTCTCACTTGAGGGTCTATCATGTCCTCGGAAATCCAATGTAATCAAATAATGCCTACGAACATTCTCAAACAAAGGTGAAGATGCAGGACTTCGCTGTAAGAGCAGAGAAAGTGCGAAATTTGAAAATGAAAGTGACGGTGAAAGCGATAGGGGGTAAGCGATCAGTGGGCGACCTTCGCAGCAACCAGGTCTGCGAACTTTTTCCCTGCAGTTCCAGAGAAATGTGTGCTGCGGCAATTCACCTTACGACACTGTTGAAAACTTTTTAATTAGTTGTACAAAGATAGCATGAAAACAACGCAAAAAACACAGCTTTCTATCACAAATATTCAAAAACAGGCAAAATGATGTTGATGATGGTCAGATCCAGCGACCGATAGCCTTGCCGTCACCGTTGGTGGACAGCATCAAGGACGCATGAAGGCACCGCCTCTACCGCTCTGCGCCTCCAGAATTCGTAGCCCGTCTCACCATAGGTTTCCGCCTTTGTTCGTCGTACCTGTTCCCTGCCAGATAGATACGATTGTCGACTCCCCTCTCAGCTCTTAGAAGACGCCAACCAACATCACTCTCACGAAGTCAAGGTTGAATTCAAAAGCTGCCATCGTTTTGTATGAAAGAGACGATTTAATGATGATAAGAATAATTCGCTAGTTTATTATCAAAAGGCGTTCTTCGCTTTATTTGGTTAGCACACTGTTGGATCAAAAGTGGGAATCCGTAATTCTGCCATTCAAAAAATCGTTTAAGATAATATAAAAAAGAAATCATGTACTTTGCTCAAGTTTGAAAAAAAGGATCACTTTTACAGTGACCAAGCTGGTAAAGAGAAACGCTCAAACGTTCATCTTTGATATATGGGGTGTCCCAAAGAAATGTATCGAACGTTTGATCTAGATAACTTCTTTATATGGAAAGGTTTCGCGGATCTGCGGGTGCCATACGGTAGGACTAGCTTCAACTTAGATTTACAGTATAAAGCGAATCACCTATTTCTCTCACTTTAGGATTACGATAGAAATTTTCGACTAATTTTGAGCTTCTGAAAGACGAGAATTGCTTATAAAAAATCCCAAAAAAACGAGACTCAAACTAGGGATTTCGGGGATGCTAAATGTAATCACAAAATTTTCCGCTATTGTACTCCTCTGCTACGGTATGCGTATTGTAACGCTGAATTTTTGGCAAATTTATCAAATCAACGTTGCAGTTACAAACACCTCGAAATCTCAGTCAAATCAGTTAAATCAAATCCTTATGTGTTTAGTGCCTGAATTTGTAATTTTTGGCACTTATTACCTGCAATTGATAAAGAATGAAAAAGTCTTCAAGGTTCAACTGAACTTTGCATGATAAAGGCAACGTTGATTTAGTAAATTTTAGAAAAAGCCAAAAGTCATTGTTACAGTGCGCATGTAGGAAGCAAATAAGTACGGTAGCGGAAAACTTTATGACTCACTCCGAAATTAGGTTTGACATCCTTCGGTTCCTTTTTTGGAAATTACAAGCAATTCTCGCCTGTCACAAGCTTAAAATTAGTCGAAAATTTTACCATAATCCTACAGCAAGTAAGAGAAATCGGTGATCCGCTCTATACTGTGAATCTAAATTGGAGCTAGTCCTACCATATGGCACTCAAAGATCCGCGACTTTCCATGTAAAATTATTGAAGATCAAACGTTCGATACATTTTTTGGGGACACCCTTATCGCTTAAGATGTCAGTATGCATAACAATTCGGTTCCAGCCTTGATTTGGGTACTGTGCCTCTGCTGGTGGTTTCCAATTCTAGGATGTTGTTTGAAACAAAACTTTGAATGTCCTGCAAGAACTTCATCACCAAATCATTGAAGAAATCATGATATAAATTGAAACGGTTAAACAAATTCTTCTGACACATTTTTACCACAATTTGCAAGAATGACGCTCCATTCTGATCTATCTCCTGAGCATTTCCATACTTCTGAAGCGGTGTTGATAAAGTACGTGAAGCCCAAGAAGGCTTACATCTTCAATCTAAGATGCATTGTCTTCATGTTCAAAATTTGATAGGTCGAACTAAAATGACCATAATGAAGCGGGCTGCGCTCTTCATGACGAGCTTTTCTCCCTCTGAAGTTTCAGGATGACAACAGGACGAAACCAAACAAGCCGAAAACTCCTACACTACGGTAATGGGAGCCGCTGATTCCGAATTTAAAATTTCCATTCTACTGTGATGCTTCTTTCCAAAGTTATCGTCGGTAAATCGTAATAACTCAATTCCCAGTATTTGTCAGAAATGTAATTACATTGTCAAAAAGCTGAAAACACTCGTAAAAGTTGTTAGGTGGAATAAGCATGGACGAAAATCCTAGTACACGATTTTTCAGATTTTTTTGAAAAAAATTTTATTAGGTGGTAAATTTCATATTGGTTCTTCCATATGCTAGAAGCTCTTACCGTAATCCTACGGTAATGAAGAGCGATCGATGATTCACTCTATGCTATAAATCTAAGTTTGACCTCGCTCTACAAAACAGTACCTGAAGATTCTCGAAACACTTCATTACACAAGAGTTACTTACAATCAAACACTAGGCACATTTTTTGGGACACGCTGTATATATCACCGACAAATCAGGAGATTTGTTGCAATGCTTATGATTTCCACACGAAATGAATACGGTGGCACAGACGTGAACGAAAAAGAGAAGCAATATGAAAACACCATGCGACGTGTGAAATTTTGCAAGTCATTGTTTTTGCGAGTTTCACACATCTACATGGCCTTTGGGATCCGCTCACTCCGGAACTGTGCTCGAAAATCAAAAATGCTTTTCGGCGTTTTCCGGTCTCGGAGATTGCTCAGGGGGCTTGAGGAAAGATTCCCGCCAAAAACGGCGACTGGCTGCAAGATATTGTAACTCCACACATGACGGCGATTGGCTGGTTGGCTCAGGCAGCAAGTCGCACCTTCGTTGGTGGGATTGGCTCGTCCAGCGTTTGTGGCTTTTTGCGGCAATTTCCAAGTCCGGAAAACGCCATAAAAAGCACTTTCTTTACTTTTCAAGCACAGTCCTGGTTAGCGCATTCAGAAGGCCAAGGAGGGATGGAAAGCTTGCAACTGCAATTTTCCCGAGCCACTGCCTTTGAGGGTCTCTGGTGTGCCTACAAAAAATCATCTTTCTAGTAATCCCTATGATTCAACAACAGGCGCTTTGAAGAAGACGGTAACTTTTTACGAGCCGATGACAATGGTTATTATTTAATTTTTTTCCTTACTTTCAATCACGATAATTTTTCAAAGAAATCAGCCTCAAATAAAACCAAGAAGTGGATAAATTCACATCCTTCAAATTCTCCTTTTGTTGATATAAACCCAATAAATCTTATTGTGCGAGTGCGCTTCATGACTGCCTTCATAGATCCCATGAGGTACCGATCAAGCGGGCACAATACGTGCAAAATACTTCGAGGCTGTTGGCGATAACTGGACGAAAATAGTCACCGCACGCGGGGGTGAGGCAATTTGATCGAAAGTATGATCCTGTTTCACCTCTGCCCCTAGGCAGATAGAGCGTCATTATTTTAAGGCATCACGTATTGACACACAACTGCGAACCTGCCCTTGTTTACATGTATTACTCCATTTTTCCTTTGTAATGGATAATGTAATTTTTTTTATTCAAACAAGCATGTATAACAAAAACTATTCAACCTGTCTGTGAACAGGATAAGTCATAGGCTAGTTAAATGCACATAACCTCTCAAAATTGTGAGGATTAAATGCACTGAGATGTATCAACTGCTGCTTGCCATCTTCTGTTCGTGCTGAAAATCAGTCGATCTAAGAACTTGAACAGACGAAAAACAAAACAAATAAAGAAAATATGTGATTTATTGTCGAGGATTCGCTTTTTCGTGCTGGAGAAAATCATTTGCATTGAAAAGCCGATTGATTTTTGTCTTCAAAAGCCTCCTTGCTTCTTTTCGTCAAGTAAATTAGAGACAGGAAAAAAGAGGTATATCCTACATCCTTAGCTGTTGCTTTTACAACAGAGAAAAATGAGTGTCTTCACAAGTGTATAATCGTCTCTACGAAGACTTGTAATTAGAATAATTTTTCAAAAAATCAGGCCATTTTCAAAATCAAAACTCTGAGAGTTTCAATCAGCATAATTTTTTTCCCAACTGAAGTGATCAGGTCATACCTGATTCACCGCAGACGAAGGTGTGCAAGTGGACCGTATGACCATATGTGGCCCACAGAGAAGCGAGTGCCAATGCGGCGCTCGGGCAGCGGCCGTCAGCGTCTCAGGCGCTTGGACGACAGAATCGTTCGCGCTGCTATCTAAACCCGCCCACCTTCGTCCGAGTAAACCTTCAGTAAAGGCTCCAAATTATACGACAACACTTGGAATTTTCGGCGACCTCACACTAGAGATACTGCCTTGGAGAGTGTTTTCCTCTAAGTATGTTCCGACCTCATAAAACGTCAAGGTACTCTTAGGAAAAAGAGGAATTTCTCTGTTCAAAACCAACCGAATCCACAAGCAGTACAAGATTACGAATTCTTTCAGTAGCAACAAAGCTGCAGATAACTTTTGAACTTTGATTAGACGACAATACAATTACCTTTTTCGCTGGCGAGCCACCTCTTATCGTAATAATACTGATAGATGTTGTTAATTTCCTCCATACTATACTGCTTCACTTCGATAGGCAGAAACGGCTAAAACTGTGCCATAAGCATGATAATAAACAAGCGTGAAAAGAAAACACCTCAATAAAGTAGAAGCCTTCTTCACCAAATAATTCTAAAGGCGTATGCCGTGGCACAGTAACTTCATCTCTCGCATCCGAAACTTCTTTTTTATCAGCCACCAACAATATACATCCATTTTCCTTGAAAGATCATAAAAAAAGACAATAGCGTTGTAACAGCAAGAAGTTCTTCGTGCGCTCACCCAATCCGAGGAGATCAAGTTTCGAAAGTGGTTCACGAGTGTTAGTTCAGAAGGTGAAGCCTATACTTTGTGACACTTGATACTGACAAACAAAAAATGTGGTATGACACTCACAAATGTTCTGTCCGCCTTCTTAACCAGTGTTTTCCCCCATAACGAATTCGCATCATCAACAGCGACAAAGACCTGTTCAAATATAGATGTTATTTATTCAGAACAGAAAATGAAGACTGGTATGGATAATTCCAAGCCGAGACTGACCTTGATAGAACCAGCAGAGGAGTGTCTCTTCAATTCACGGAATAGTCCACCAACACAGTCAGTGGCAAGAAAGGGTGCGGAGATACCCTAAAAAGGTGGTATGAGTGTTGCGGTCAAACGGAGATACTTATCCGGTAGCAGAGAACAACGGTCGCAACTGAAGGCTGCTGCATGACGAAGGCTCAGAAGCAATATTAGTTTAGCGGGCGCGAACGCTGCACGCACGTATCTTCACCGTTGTAAATCCTGCGCCTCATGCGCTCTGCGGCTAACGAAACCGCATTCGCGCCCAAAGATACTGCGCCTTCGTCATGCAGCAAGCTATACGTTTCTATGCCCTATCATGACAGACAAGCGAATAAACGGAGATATTTAGTACTGCACGATTTACTCTGGAATGTTGTAAAAACAACAGAGCAATTGAAATAGGAAAACCAACTATCTCCACAATCTCAGTGATAGGTCGATCAACAGCTGTTCTCTCGCTTTTAGTCCATTCATAATCTCGTTCCGTCTTCAATATACTTAGCGTTTTCCACATATGTTGATTCTGCAAAAAAAAGATCAATCAAGTGAGTGATTAGGCTCGCATGTTTGATGAACCTGCTCCTTAAATCGTTGTAAGATCTGAACTGCGTTAACGGGATCATTTATACGACCCTGCTTGAAAGTTGACATTTCCACCTCCACAACCGTGCGCGTAAGAGACATTGCTATAAAGTTGCCGTTTACGTTGATCCCCAGAGGAAAGCACATACAAATTCGAGATTATATGCACATATAAAGAACAGCTTACCGCCGGGATGTTGCACAATAACCATGCCCTGCGTATACGCAAGATACACAGCTTGGTTAAGCGTGACTGACTTCCCAGTACCAAATGGACCCCATAGTACCATCCTAAGGGCAGGAAATGAGGGACGTATAACGGACATACAAGAAGATACCTTGAATCAAGTATATATGATCAAGCTGCGAAAAAGCTTTCCCACACAGACCTCAAGGATGGGTTCCCTAATAACTGTTACCAACTCTCCAAGAGTATCAACTTGTTTTATTAGATTTGAGGGGAGCAATCTTTGATATCCCAGGGCGTCAACAGCTTCTCGTGGGATTTCATATAGACGACCGATGTCAGAAACGGAGAAATCAGTCTGAAACATCCTATGTTTCATAAGTACACCTTTTTGTGCCCGTAAGTATCCTGATTCATGCAGTTGCTTTTAACAAGAAAGTAAAAAGAAATTTTACATGATACAAGTGAAAAAAGATAGTGAAGTAGAATCACTTCAAATGTCTCTATCTCAATGTAGAATATCATACTGAACTTTACCGGAGATTTACTTGTAGCCATGTACAATCGTTTCGACCTGATACGACCTAAGTTGAAATTAGCATCGACAGTCGAAAAACTCGTTTCCAAAAACCAACCGACACGACCGTGGATCCGTGAGATCGATCGCAGCACACTTTTCATTGCCTACTCAAAAATGAAAGATCAAACTTGTACTAAAGAAGTGAACAGACATGAATGACAAACAAGGCCTATAAAATCCCAATGCGCTATCGAATACGAAACATAAACATTAGCAATTTTTATTAGCCTTTGGAAGGAAGAATCAACAACAATTTTGCAAAACAACGACTCAGCTCATACACCGGCAAGCGATAAAATATCGCGATTAAGTCAAACACAACAATCAACAAATAAAATAAGCGTGCAATGTGCAGCAACGTCTACACGAGATAAGACCCAGTACATACATTATACAGTAACTGCAGCATACTGCAGCTCGTCGCTGTTCTCGTAGTCGGCCATGTCCAATGCAACTTCACAGCTTTCGCGAACAACGCGCTGGAAATAATTGAGAAGTCATCCATAAGAACAACCATAAGCACATCCACAAAAAAGGTGATGAAGCTACCTCCTTGTCCTCTAAATACTCTTGTAAAATTGCAGTACATTCATTAGTGGCGATAGCACCGAGGGCTTCCGCGCACTCGTGGCGTACCATGTGATTCTGAAGCTATGTACCAACTTCAGGGAAACCTTATGATAGGTGATACCTCTGAAAGCAAGGTAAGACGATCTTTTAGCTCCTTGATCGCCACAGGAGACTGTGCTTGTCCCAAAACGTATGCAACCTCATGTCGGAATAAAGCACTATCTTCGCAATAAAGACCTGAACCAAGTTTGGATTATGAAGAGACGATAAAGGCGTTACTGACAAATACAACACAAAACTAAACTGTCACAGGCCACGCAATGATTTACCTTGAGCAAGTGCTTTGATGGAGGCATCTGTATTGATATTACGTAGTTTAAACATAGCCGCGTAACGATCCCATAACGGTTTCTTAGCATCCACAAGAGTTGCCCCTAGCTCTTCAACGTTATCAGACGATGCAGCGGCAGTAGGATCTAAATGCACACCAAGTGACCTTAGGCTACTGCATAGTGGATAATGCGGTATATATGTATTCACTGCCAACGCTTTGCGAGATAGCTAAGTAGCACACAACTCCGGTATATGATGGTGCAACGCACAGAATGAAAGGTTTGCAATCCCGCTCAGGACAGATCTTAATGAGGATAAACGGCAGACGATGAGGGGGTGTGTTACACGATTAGTCATAACTGAAGGCACAGTCTACACAAACTGAGCGTAGTGAGGTTTCAATGCTGTATCATACCTGTGGTCCTAACTAAGTGATCGCCCGAGTCTCCCTGCAAAAAATGAAGTCAGAATCGAGAGCAAGAGAATGTGGAAGCGGCGATGAAGCTGCAAACTAACGTGAGTGATCTAGAGATAACAAGTCCAAGACTGAAGTGAATGTAATTAAAACTGTGAAATGCACCCTTCATCATGATCATCAGATTTTCGACAATTCTGGATATGTCGAAGTCTCACTTCGTACTATTATCTATCTTAAACCGCCCATGTTTGTGGCCAGAACCACCAACACCGCGACTCTACTTTCCGGTAAGATATTCTTGCTTCCATTCACTTTCTGCAGCGGAACCTGGGGCCACTTCGGCCGCTTATTCTACGGAATCAAAACCTCACCAAGGTCAAGCTAAGTAGACATGTTCTTTTAGCGAAATTTGAACAAGATGATTCCTTTTGAACAAACCATGTTTAGTTTTAGGTTTTAACAAGTGTAAATCATACAATCATTTACTAAACACTAATGAAGTTGACGAAGTGACGCACTACATTTCCTCAAGATATACTCGATTATGCATACCTATGCTTTGGTACGGGCTCTCAGTTTTGTCGCCGCTAGCTTGCACCCATTGAATTCTTCTAAGAGCTAGTTGGCATGTCTCTGCGATTTCCTTGCAAGAGTCCTGAAATATATACAGTACATGCTTAACAATAAAAACTGACCTACCTTGCTATATTTTTCGAGAATATCACAAGCAGATGGATCACCAATCGCACCTAGAGCTTCACCCGCTTCATGACGTACTATTGCTTCTACAATGGGTACATTAACAAAACAAAGACCTACGAGAGCGCACACCTTGCTTGGTGTTCGTCAAAACGTCCATGAGGATGGGAATCGCTGTTTTGTTCTGTGTCTGGCCAAGACAATACGCCAGTTCATGCTTGAGTAAAGCAGAGTCATCGTTGAAGCACTTCGCAATCCATTGCACTGAATGATCGCATCCGATGTTGCGCAAGATGAAGAGCGCTCGGAATCGTGCTTTCAGCGGTTTGCTAAATCAGCAAATTCAGCATGACTGGCTCACCTTTTGAAAAAACCCATACATTTTGAAGTCCTCGGAACATTACAGAACAGAACAAGCTTTGGTGTAATGCAGAATAAGAAAACATGAGGAGAAACATAATTGAAGAGATTGACACAAAGTGATATTCTGTACGAGACCATTGCCTTGACATCGCTTAAATCGGAAAACACAGAAAACTACCAATTATCTTAACCCCTATGCAAAATGCAGTGTCAACGAAGGATTTACTCCGCGGCGGTTTCGGCGGAACAAATTTAAGCTCCTTCCCTTGCGTCTAGTCCCTTGTTTCTCTCACGGCTTCAAAGCCATTAATTCAGCTGAATGTCTTCGGTACTACCTTGCACTTTCCAAGATACTTGCGCAATGACAAAACACACTCGAGAAGAGATTTTTTTCAAGATATCCTTATCCAACTCAAAATTGGACAAGCAGCAGCTCAGTATAGCAAAACGATGCTTTCCGACAAACTTTTAAGAGACCCAACCAAAGGTAACTCACTGTACGTCGTTCAAAATCGATCCAAATCCGTCAATCTGCGCTTTCGTGAATGATGATACCATGCTTCGGATGAATTACCTGAAATCTCTTGCATAGGTTAGGAATCACTGTGTAAATATATGAAACTATATTATATGATAAGAAAAGAGACACAGCACATTCTATGCATGATACAAGACTGTCATAAACGGATGGTGAGTTCAATGCTAGAAAAAAATCCCCATTAATATTGACTACTGAAGCAAAGCGAGGAGCTGCTCCACAATAGCTGCTAGGATTACGGTAGTGGAAATCACAGACTTGCTCAAGCGAATACTTTCACAAAAGTGTATACTGTGCGAGCTAGTGATAATCGAGGTCTTCCGAAAAAAGAACAAAGTACCTAAAAAAACAGAGGAAACCAACATCCGCGCACTTGTAGATGGCTGGGTGCAATTGCGGGGTGTAGCCAACATTACGGCTAAATCTGCTCATAGGTGAGGCATGCGCCATACTTGATCCGCTTAATCCACTTGATCCGCTTGATCCGCTTCATCATTGGTCAATTCAGTGAACTGACCAATAGTGAAGTGGATGAAGTGGATCAAGCGGATCAAGCGGACAACCGCTTCGCTATTGGTCAATTCACTGAATCGACCAATGGCGAAGCGGATCAAGCGAATCAAGTGGATTAAGCGGATCAAGTATGGCGGGTGCCTGAGATCCGCAAAACACAACTAAATTGGACACAAAATAATACACCCACTTCAGACTTTGGCGAGGACCTCATAGGCTTCGGCCACAACGAATTACGGTCCGGAGCGATAGTCAATCCCACCAATCAAGGTGAGTGATATACACATTTTTAGTGTTTTGCTATTACTATTTGATTTCAGTTATTTCGTGCAGCTCGGTAGTACAAACGAGGAAAGAGAGCGAGAACTTAAAGGCAGTGTCCGGGCAAAAAGTCGATTTTGAGATTTTGTGCTTACCCGGGCCTATTCGCTATGCTGAATCTGAAAATCCACACTGGAAGGCGCGAAAACGGCGAAAAAGGGCTCTAACGCAGTAGTGAAATGAGAAGTGGGCGGGGTCTTCCCCACGGTGCATTCACGGTCCCAGCTTCCCGAGCGATCTTTTCAGTTAAGCTAACTGCTCTGACATCTCCACAGACCAACTGCGAATGCATGATCTATCAGAATTGAAAAGATCGCTCCGGAAGCTGGGACTGTGAAATCACAGTGTGAGGAAGACTCCGCCCCCTTTTGATTTCACTCCTGCGTTAGAGCCCTTTTTCGCCGCTTTCGCGCCTTCCAGTGTGGATTTTTGAATTCAGCATAGCGAATAGGCCTGGGTAAGCAAAAATCTCAAATCGACTTTTTGCCCGGACACTGCCTTTAAGCAACGCACAGAAGAAAGAATACTCTATAGAAAGGATATCTTCAAAGGCTTGCAGATGGCACTGTAAGTTCTCTCTCCACAACATTTTGTCGAAACTCTAACTCATTCATGTATTTTGAAGTTGAGATGTGAGGGCGTACGCGTACGATGCAGTTAAAACACGATGGATGCCTAGTGATGTAAGTGTTCGCAATGACAATCAAGTTATCCATCTGTGTATTTCTTGTTTCAGAGAAAAGCTAAGCATACAAGACTGTATGCCACTGATAAAAACGTTGATCCTCGGCACCCATAAGGAATCATCATGTACTACAGACCTATTTTCATAGTTTATAGAGTTACCAGTGCGTCACCTCCGCTTCGCGGAGGTTCGTACTGTCTCCCTATCCTTATGCCTTTCTCATGTTCGTATGAGAATGGCTTTGAAACTCACTACGCGATGCTGAGCATCACAAATGGATCGTAAAAAACTGTTCATTCATGAAACATCTCCATGTAAGATCGGTAATTTTGAGAAAAAAAACTTTGTTGCAAGGAAACAAATGCTAGTTTGAACGGATTACTGAATTTATTTTAGTTTGATAATCGTCATAAGGGTAATAGTCATTTTTAGCTACATTTCAGTGCAAAAATCTTTTCAGTTTTTTCAAATAAAAGCTTGCCAAATCGACTATCTACGCGTTCATCACTTTTTGGCGCTGTTTTCGCAAAAAAGCAAACTTTTTGAGCACATTTTGGGCTAGAATTCATGGCGCGCAGAGTTACTTGTCAGACAAGTCATAACTTTGCAAAAAGTCGAATTAGCGACCTAGTTTTGCGTGCCAAAAGGCGCGTGGACACGTTTGGCGCGCAAAGTTTGAGGGACCCGCTTATCGAACCGGCTTGTCCTTGTGCATGGTGGGCCTACAACCTGACACGGTATGTTATGCAAAATTGCAGCCCGATAGCTTATCGTTAGTTGCAGCTTCCTCTATGAATTTCGTGACAGACAGATTTTCACACAGACACACAGACAGACACACAAAAAAGCAGACAGCCTTAGCGCGTTATTATTCATACTCTCTATAAAGCGCAAGCACCCCCATGTGACTCATCGTGGATGTCTGTCGCCAGAGTGATCTTTGATACCTTGCCATGCAGTCGTGTTTTCGTAAATGAGCTGCGCATCGTTTACTAAGTACAGGTGCCCTTTTCCATGCCTGTACGAGTGTCATCGCGACCACATACGAAAATCATGGCTTGAGATGTTTACGGTTTCAACTAAGGGCAGTCTGTGAAATACTGGCAACGCAGTCGGTGGTAAGACTGATCAGTCCAGTTTCGTCAGTCATTCACTATATATCTTCAAAGGATACACTCAATTTCGATATCAGTAGACAGGTAGGCCCATGCAAGTGTTTTTGCCCTTTTGGTACCACGACCAAAATTTGTAAAAACCATCTCCTTCGAGACGTTTTGTTACATACGTCAGGATCATTCTCATTCTATAGAAGCATTACGCGCTTAAAAATTCACAGTTCGCTGCAGTTTATCGATTTTAGTCGAAGCTATAACAAGAGATGTGATCTTTCTCATCAAAGTTCTAGGTTTTGACGCTAAAGAAATTGACCGTTTTAGCTGTAACGTAATGGGTTTCGGTCACTTCGGGTACACTACAGAGAGCGGGTCAAACGAAGGTCCACTGAAAAGAAAGCCAGTTGGAGAGTTTTGGCAAAAGTTTTGAATGACAATGCATATTCTCGAAGAAGAACTTTGAGAGCGAAGGAGAGGGTTCTGGAAAAACTTGGGAGAGCGCTGAAAAAATTTTGCTTGCGTTAAAGGCAACTTGGTGGGGGAAACTCGAGAGCTCGAGGACCGAAAAATGTAGGGAAGTATGGAGAACTCTGCCTAAGAGATGCTTCAGAGTGAAAAAGCTTTGACAAAAATTTCTAATAGAAACTTTTCGTCCTAATCCCGTCTGTCCTACTCCTCTATTCTTCAGCAAAAGTAAGAAATCAACGAAGAGGTGGGGAAGGACGAGGACGAGGAGGAAGGAGAAAGATTGGCTTAAAACTCTATGGGTGGCGGTAAAACGACACACGTGAACATAATAAAATTCATGGTACCTGTGGAGAATAGAGGGGAGAGGGACACTATGGGAGGGAAGGCTGTAGAGAGCAGGTGAGCATCTACTGGCACGTTTACTCAAAAAAATTTTGGGCACCAGGACTGTGGAGATTAGACTAGGGTAGCGGGGGCTGCCTGAGCAGGAATTAGCTAAAGAGTGTTTGAGTTTATCCTAGGACGTCTGTACGCTAGAAAATGACTCATCACTAATCGGTGATTTTATATAAGGCTGTGTGTGCTTGGAAGAATAAGACTACCGTTAGCTAAGAAAAGGTACGCGAAAAAAATTCAGAAATTCTAACTTCCAGACACTTCCTACTTCACACACACAGCCAGTCCAAAGCGCCGCGAAGCGGCGCTTTGGATAGTAGGATATTGTATTCTAGTCTATACCACTGCTAAGATTCGTTAGTGGTTCAGTGTATATGTTTTTGAATATCAAAAACGGATATTCAAGTGAAAAAAAAACTTGCGAAAAGATGTTCGGCTTGCATAGTGTAGCAACCGTTCATGTGAATATAGTGTAATATCTGCTCCAAGACGAAGGCGGTCGCCCAAATAGGTTGAAAGCATGCAAGGCTGCCGCGCGCGGGCAATTGTCAACCACAGGGCGCGCGCACGCTCGGTCAGCGGTCATCCACGCGAGCGTGCGCGCGCCCTGTGGTTGACAATTGCCCGCGCGCCGCGTGCGCGTCAGGCCTTGCATGGTCTCAACCTATTTGGGCGGCCGCCTTCGTCATGGAGGAGATATTACATGTCTCAATCGATTCTTCAACACAAGGCATTTGGCAAACAAAACATCAAAGACACCCAAAAATAAGAATTTGTCATTTTTGCCATATCCTCGCACGCGCATCATTGTCAAAATGAGCGCAAATGATTGCTTCATGCGAGAAGCGAAGAAAATAGGCCAAAATCATATTTTACGATTTCAAAGGGCCGTGTCAGCGGTCATCAGTTTGCCACCGAGCGCGAGCCGATTTCCATCCAGCGCACTACCACACGTACCAGAACAGCGCGGAGCCAAGTCTGTCTCACCCAGCGTGCAGCAAATGCACCACACCAGCGCGCCACCTTTCTCCTGCTTGCGCGCGCTAATCGCCGGGCCACCGAAAGTCCGGTGCGCGCTCGTCTGACTCTTGCGGCACGCCCGCACGGTCCGAATCCCTGAGTCAGTTGATTGACCGACTGCTTCGGCTCGTGTTAGTCTATATAAGAAGTGTTTCTGCTCAAAGCAGTCCGGGCAAAAATTCGATTTCTAGAAATTCACTCACCGGGGGTTATTCGCAACATTGAATCCGAAAATCCAGATTAGAAGGCGCGAAAACGGCGAAAACATGCGTTTTCCAAAGCTTTACGATTTGAAATTGGACGGTTTCCGCCAAGGCTGAGACGCAGAGTATCTGCGGGACCCTACGATTTTTACTGTGGCGGCATGCGTACTCTGCCGCACAGGAATTCGAATGGCTCCAAGGACCCGCCCCAAGGAGTAAGTTTCCCCACTTTCCGGTCTTTTTCTTGCTTTAGATCGAATGTTATGACGTCGCACTTGCAGGATGTTGTGCCTGAAAGGGGCCACTCTCGCATGGCGCTGAAATCCCAAAACTCCCATCTTACCCAGACACTGCCTTTGATATAATGTGCTCGCACTGCAAGTGAAATGCGGTAAAATTTGCGCATGAACAAGTATCGTCCCTTCCACATTTGCTGCTACCTTTCTGGCGTCGCGGACGTGCCACGTGTGACTATCACGTTGGCAACGTTGGCAGCAACACGTTGGCGACATGCAGCAACATGTTGGCGTGGCCAAAATGTTCTGCCAACATGTTGTGGCAGGTTGCAAACATGTTGTTGCCACCGCCGACATGTTAGCCACATGTGGCAGGTCTGAGACGCAGATCAAGGGTAGCAGCTATAGTTAGAGCGACCGAAAA